CGACCCAAACCTTGTAGGGATTTGGGACCTGATGTCGTCCTTCTTCGGCCCAAACCTTGTAGGGATTTGGGACCTGCTTTCTTCTCTCGCTTCTCTCTTCTTCGTCCTTCGGCGGCCCAAACCTTGTAAGGGATCTTTGGGAACCGCTCTTCTTTGACCCTCTTGCTTCTTCGTCCTTCGGCGGCCCAAACCTTGTAAGGGATCTTTGGGAACCGCTTTTCTTTCACCCTCTTGCTTCTTCGTCCTTCGGCGGCCCAAACCTTGTAAGGGATCTTTGGGACCGCTCTTCTTCGACCCTCTTGGTCCAAACCTGGTAGCGGTTTGCAGGGGTCTTCCTTCTGGTTTATCGGCCCAAACTTATCAGAAGTTTGGCAACCGATTTTAGTTTCGTCTTTACTAGACTCTGTATTCTTTCCCTTCCTACTTTAAAGGCTATGGCCTTAATGGTTCGGCTTTTGTTTTCGCCTTAAATTTTCATTTTTTGATTCTGACACCTTTCGGTATCTAGTTCGGATGGGCCCGCTATTGCCGACCTCGCCGTTTCCTTGCTCGAAGGACCAAAATGTAAATAGTTCCTTGCTATACAGCTAGGAACTATTCACTATCAGAGGCTACACTTTATCCCGTGTAGAGCGTCTCTGAGAGAACAAAAAAGGAAACAAACCAATGCTTAAATTTCCAATTTCATTCTGATTTTATTTCTGAAATTCCTTCAGTATTTATACAATTTTTGTCTTATTTACTAGGTTTTTTCTTATGTACTTATAATTCAATATTTGACTCTTTCTTATTTTCTAAACATTGTACTTACTCTAATTTTACATTTTTCGTCTTATTCTATCCTAACGGTGTCAAGTGGATTTCCCCTCCATATGTATATTTCAAGCCTTTCTTAAACGCAGTGTGCACCCACCCTTAAACGCTGTCGCGGTCCTATTTGCCTATGCATTTTCTGTTATCTACTATGCGTTGGTCTGTACCACTGCTGCATGCGGCTATTTTTAGACCGAGATTTGTTGTTTAGCCTATCTACTGCTTGTGCTCCCTATGCTAACTTCTGAGCTCTTGTTCACTTTTGTGAACACTGTCCTTGGAGTTGACTGGGCACAAAAGTGCCATTGTTTTTCCCGTTTTTATGTCAAATGCTTTAAGAGTTCAAGCAAAATATATTTGACTTTTTGGCGCACGCGTTTTAAGTGCGTTTTAAAACGCGCGATCCCACATTGCAGTGGCCGGCAGCTGCAACAATAATTCAAATCTGACTAAGCCTGGAAAAGCCCGGCGGCAAATCCCCAGCGGCGCACATTGAGGCACATCCTCAAATTAATAACGCTCATAATTTTACCCATTTAATTGAGGCGAATGGCCGCGGTCGCATAATGACCAACCACAGGCTGCCAGCCCCATCAGCCCCATCAGCCCCCACCTCCATCTGGTGATGGCCGCTTCCAATTCGGTGAACCTTCAATGTCCATTGCACTTGAAGCGGCTTATTAGAACGGCGCGCTTCGCCGGCGCCCGGCACAAATCATAATTTTTCAATTTGAATAATGAGTGCAGAAAAGGCAGCGCTGTCGATGGCGATGGCGGCGTCGACGTCGGCATGAGCGTTGGGGCTTTCGCGAAGAAGCCTTTAAATTTATTTTGCTTTGCTTCATTCTTTGCCACTTCACAGCGCAGGCAGGGAACGTTGGCAAATCCTTGCAGCCAAACACTCGTAAACTCATTTGGCACATGAAAAGTTCCCCCCACTCCCTCCACAACCCCGCCGCACGGACGTTCCAGCAGCAGCGCCAAGTCTAAATCATTTACCCGAAAGATGAGGAAGAGACGAAAAAAATGAAGGCTGCCACACAGGCACAAGGCAAAGAAAGGCTAAAATGCTAATAAGCAGCGCCCACAGCCGGCGGCACAAGCCTAGTATGTGCTTTGGCTAGTACATAAGACGCTTGCTTTATACATAAACATAAGCTTATATATATATACATATATATATATATGTATTGGATATACATAGAACGCAGGCGAAGCCTTTTTCGGCTGTTGAAAGGGGCACAAAGAAAGGCAAGCAAGGAATAAAAAAAAAAATATATGAAAAAGAGACGCTGAGGTGGGCTTGGGTGGCAGCTTGGGGAGCGAAGCCAGCCGCACTGTATTGTTGTTGTTGTTGTTTGCTCGCTGAAGATTAAATGGGAAACACTGTGACATTTTCTGGCTGCGCCTTTTGCGCGTTTCTTTCTTTCCACACAGCTGCTGTTGTTGTTGTTGTTGTTGTTTTTCTTGTTCGCTCAGCTGCTGTGACAGTCAGGGCGCGAATTTAAATTTAAGCAGCGAGTCCGCGGGGGTGTGCTGGGGGTAGTGTGGGTGCTGGTGGTGCTGGGGGTGGTAGGGGGGTGGTCGCAGTTGTTTGGCGTCTTGCGCGCAAATGTAAAATAATGCGAAAGGGCTTCGTTTGCATAAATTAAAAATTTATATAATGCTGCTCGACGCGAGTTGTCAACTTTCGTGCGTAATTTTCTTTTTTGTTTTGCTTGCGGGTTGAGCTAATTTTCGTAGAGAAAAGATTTTCAGAGTTGGGGGGGAGAATTAAAAATGGCGGCTCTGCTCTCGTTTTAACACAATATTGTAATATATATTTTGTTCACAATTTGGTTTTTTGAAACACAATAGATACACATTGAGTTTAATTAAATTGTCTCTGCTTAATAATTAGAAATTTAAAGATGCTTCAAAGTACAACAACAATAAACTAGAAAAATCAATAAATATGCAAGCAGCCCATATACTCGTATATATACGCAATATACAATTAGTCTAAACATACATACATATAAGTACATAATCATTTTAATGTTATTATGAACGTTTTAATTGTACGTTCTTTTTTGTTTTATAAATTTTTCTAATTTCATTTAGTTTGAGAATTTTCGATTACTTTGTTTCTTTTGTTATAGAAGTACATACTTGTATATTTTAGTTTAAGACTTACAACTTATATTGCACATGTTGAGCTGTAAAGGTTATGCATTGGTTATGTCAAAGGTATGTACAGAAAATTGACTTACGACCGCTAAACTCGTATGTAAGTAGGACAGTATGCTTGTAATAGATTTAACGTACATATACAGAGTGACTACAGTTAATTATTTATAGATATAGTAGGTATATATATATATGTATAATTATTTAAATATACTTTTAATTCATATGAAACATGTGAAGTTGCATTGTGTGTGCATTGCACAGCTCGATCGATGGATGCGATGGGGAGGCCCGGGTTGGGTTCCACAATTCTACATTCATCGATCAAGTGCGCTCACTATTTGGTTTTATTTTTGCAATTGTTTAATCTTGAGGAACTTGTATACCATACACTTTTGAATGAACAAAGAAAATTACAAAATATTTTGTTGCATCTCATGATTCCTTTCATTAACGTTACGAACTTAAAGCGTGTGCCCCGCTGTCTACCGAGACACACCGAATCGAACTAAGGATTGCACTAAGATGTGTGTTTAATCTAAACTTGGACTATTTACAGCTTAAGCTATTAACACTTATATATGTGTGTGAGTAGTGTTGGTGTACTCATATATATGTACAAGGCTATACTAAGTATTTACTTACTTGTAAATGCCTCAAGTCGCTTATCTTTAAAAATATGCGTAAAAATTGCATTTCAATATCGTCGTAAATTGTTTTTATAATGCTTGTTGTAGTTGTGGTTGTATATAAATTCAGTTAAATTGTACGATTGCCCAAATTGTCCCATAAATGTATGTGTTATGTATATATTTATGTATCAATATAGCTGTATATGTGTGCCTGTGTGAGTTGCTTAACGACAATCACAACAATTTTGATGCAAAGAGGTATTGGAGGTATTCGGTTATAGTAGTTCTTCCTGTTTACTTGGTTCACACTTAAATGTTTAATACTTCTTAGCTGACATTTCGGCATATTATTATTTTCTAATATTAAACTATATATATATATATATATATATATACTATATATATGTACATATATGTTGCATTTGAAATTAAATGTTAACCGAAAAATTTCCTATTTCAAATAAAAATATTGAAATTATTGGGCCCAGCTGTTAAAATGAAAATCATGCTAAAAACATAATAAAAAAAATCATTTTGAAAACAAAAAAGTAAAGTTGAAAACAATAATTGGGTCTTTTGAATTTCTTTTATTTTTATTTGCATATTTGTTCCGATGGCACGCCTTAAGCCTGCAGCAAGCAACATTCTGTTTCAACTAAACACAATTTAAAAATTATTAATAATAATATAATAATAATCAAACGGGAGTGTGCATGCAATAAAACGTATAAGCTAATGAATTAAATAATCGTTTTTAAATATATATATTTTTTGTTTATATATGTATTTGGGGCAAACAAAACAAAACAACTGGCATACACATAAGGATTTATTTGGTAATAACTTAAAGTTAATTTTGATTTTGATTTTGTTTGTTTCTTGTTGATTGGCGTTTCTTTGAGAATGAAATTTAAAAATAAAGTAAAAATTATGCTAGTTAACTAATTAGAAGTAGGAATTTGTTTAAATGTGTTCAAATTAAATGATACGTTATTTTTGGAGCGCTGTATAATTTACAATTCGCAGCTGCATTGCTGGCTATTTACAATTCGTTTTACGCGGCGCCTAAAACTAATATAAAAAATAATAATAGTATACTCCTATATGCTAGATGTTTAGATTAAAATGGCACAAAATTGTTGAGGGTCTTGAAGTTGTGGGGCAGCTTTCGATTCTTATGGCAATCATTTTTTTTTGTTTGTTTTGCTTTTCTTTAGTTGCGTGTTTTGTACAATTTTCATTTTGATTTATGTGCAATATTTTGTAGGGTTTTTTAAACTTAATGTTAAGTGACTAACGAGTTGTTTTTTTTTAACTTGTACTTAGCATAAATTCCTGTTTATGTTTTTCTTGATTTTTTTTTCATTTTGCATTCGTCTGGGCTGCTTAACTTTTCTTCGTGTCCATGCCGCCAGCTTCATCTGATGAGTTTTGAAGGCATATTGGACACCCCCCTCCGACCACGCCCTGGCCATGGCGCCTGCTATATACAGAATATTGGAGCTCTAATGCTTGATCAGCTGTTGTTGCTGTTGCTGTTGCTGTAGCTGGAGCTGCTGTTGTTGTTGGCGCAAATACAGGGCGGCCGCATCGTCGAGCTCATCGAGATCGATGTCGTCGTGGCCCATGTGCATGGAGGAGGCGGGCGATTGAAGCTCTGTGGAGCGTGGCGAATGCATGCTCAGATCCTCGGGCTCTGTCTGCTCGGGCATGTCACTGGGCACGTGCATGATCTGTGGCGGTGGTAGGCGGAACACTCGCCGTATGTCCTGCGCCTTGCGACGGGCCATGCTGCTACTGCAATGACCATCCACGGAACTGGCACCGTCCTCGGACAAGTCCAGAGGGGCATCCTCATCCGATTGTACGCTACTGGCTACCAAGGACATGGGCTTATTGTTATTGTTGTTATTATTGTGGTTGATGCTGGCGCTGCTCGCGATGTCCATGGACTCCTCAGAGCCGTAGCTGGCGCACATGGCAGCGAACTTGGCCGATGTGGAGTTTTCGAAAGCTGCAGCTGCCGCAGCAGCCGCCGCCGCTGCTGCCATCGGATAATCGCCGCTCATGGCTGGCGAGAGGGCTGGCGTGGGCGGCGACTGAATGCCGCACTTGTGATTCATCAGATGATGACGCCGCCGGAATTTCATGTGGCAGCGTTCGCACTCGAACGGCTTCTCACCATTGTGCACCAGCATGTGGGACTTCAGCTGGTTGGAGTCGCTGAACTTGCCGTCGCAGATCTCACAGGTGTAGGGGCGCTCGCCGGTGTGGACACGCAGATGACGTCTGAGATTGGCCACCTGGACGAACTGGCGGTCGCAGTGGGAGCAATGGTACGGTTTCTCGCCCGTGTGCAGACGCATGTGGGTCTTCAGATGGTGGTCGCGCGTGAAACGCTTGTGGCACTCGGGACACTCGAAGGGTTTCTCGCCGGTGTGTGTGCGCTCGTGATTCTGGAGGACGTGCTTGTAGCCAAACGAGCGCGAGCAGATCTTGCAGGTGAAGCTCTTATCTCTGGCAGGATCCTTGGGTGCGGGGCCATTGCCGCTGCCACCATTACCACTGGTTGCCTCGTGTGTTGAGTTCGGGGAGGAGCCGCTCGAGGGTGGCGAAATGGGACCACCGGGCGTGTGATACAAATCGCTGACGCTCATGCTTATCTCAATGGCGGGCGTCTGGAACTCTTTCTTCACGGACAATTTGCGCGCCTTCTTCGCCGGCTCGCCACCATGATGCTGCGGCGTGGCTGTGGGCGAGATCAGAGCATGCTTGCCCATGGCCACTGGTGTGGTGGCCAATGGCGAGTGCGGACTGGCGGGTGGCGAGTGCAGATGTGTGCTGGGCGGCATTGCCGGCTGCTGCTGTTGCTGGTGCTGGGCGGCCCAAGCGCCAAACAACGCGGCCGGATTGTGTGGAAACAATGTGGTCGCCAGTGTGGACATGGGAAGCTGTGCCATAAAGGCGGCCGCCTGTCTATTCGCCGCCAATAGCTGTGTGGGCGAGAGCATGCCAAAGGCCGATGCGGCCGCTGCTTGCTGCAGTCCCGGATACATGGCGGCCGCGCTGCTCGCCGAGGTGTTGGCCGACATGGGCGGCGATAGGGACAGAGACCGATCGACCTCTTCACGTTTCATGCCCGCCAGTGCTGCGGCAAGGCCTGCAAATGACAGGAGAGAAAGAAAAACGCAAATTTAGTAATGCTTGCAAGGAAAGCAATTTAAATTTAAAAACCTCCTCCTGCGTCCCCCGCTGAGGCTTCACAAACAGTCGCTGGTCAGTTATAGAGTCGTAGCCTGCGGGCCCATCACAGTTCGTTAAAGTTCAAAGTCGCACGTGTCCCAGTGCACAAAAAGGAAAAGGATGCGTGTGTACACAAATCCTGCTCGTATGTGTGTGTGAGTGGAGGGGAAATTGCTGGCGCTTAAGAGCGTACTTTGTGTTCCTTAAGAGCACAACTCATACGAGTATGTGCTCGCTCATGTGTGTGTGTGTGTGTGTGTGTGTGTGTGTGTGTCATCACATACGAGTATGTGGTTGTTGTTGCGCTCTCTCTCTATCTCTCTCTCTCTTGCTTTTTGTTTTGGTGGGCGTTGCATAAACGAGTTAAATGCCGGTTCTTGCCAAACTTGTAAACAAAACTTAATTGCTCTGCTGGTTGCGCGCGTGTGTGCATGTGTGTGTGTGCGAGTGTGTGTGTGAGCTGCCAAAATGGCGTTTAACTTATGCACATTGAGACGTCGTTATTGTTATGCGACTGTGTGCTCATGTGTTTGGGTGGCAATGGGTGAGAAATTAAGCTTTAGCCTGCAAATGTGCCCCAAAAACTGTGCTTTAATGTGGGCGCGTTATTGGATTGGTATGGGGTTCTATTTATTAACAGAAGAATTAAGGAACGAAGAAATTCGTGGAAATCGTATGTGTTTCTTTTTAATGTACCTCAATTTAATAGATTTGTAGCTCAGCTACAAGTGCATTAGAAACATTTTATCTTCAGTTAAATAAAATGCAAACAATTTCAATGAATAATTGATGCACACTTTATTTAAATTACTAAAATTCCCAATTCGAAATTAGTCTAAGCATGTGTGTAGAAAAAGTAACTTGCTGTCCATGCAAACAATTTAAATTATTGTTGCAAACTTTACTTAAATTTTCGAAATTCCCAACTCGAAATTAGCCTAAAAATGTATGTAAAAGAAGTAACTTGTTGTCCATGTCTCTAACACGTTTTAAACGTTGTCCATTCTTATAATTATAACATATTTTGATTTACTTAAATTTCTACTTACTTCGTGTTTGTGCGTCCTGAAGCAACGATATGGCCATTATATGCTTTTGTTGCTCTTCCTTCGCGCCTCTCCACACTTCTTCAACAAATCTTGCAAAATTGTTGCAATTTTCGTCGTTAAGTTTTTATTTAATTGCAAATAACACAAATTTTCATTGGAGCTGGCAACGTTAGCCACACTTTGTTTATAATTTTGGAATTATTAGTTTTTTTGAATTTGTTTAATTTCGTTATATTACGCGCACTTCTTTGTACTTTGAGGTAGATTTTGCACAGTTCTACAAAAGTTTATACATATACAGCAAAAAATTCGTCGTCCTTGATCGTATTACAAAATGAGGTAGTTCAAATCGAATATTATTTAAATGTTATTAATATTATTATTATTTTTTACTAATTGTTGTTGAGGTATTTGGTTTGTTGTTACGCGTTTGTTGTTTGTTTTTTAAATTTTTATTTAGTTTGTAAGACACAAAAATTGTAGTTTGATTATTTTTTCGTATTTTTGCTGTTCGCTGCGGTGTGATGTGAACGTGACGAGTTGTCGCTGTGAAGTGATATGAAGCGAGTGTCTGAACACGTTTTATATATGCGGCATATCCTTTTTTATCCTTTGAAGCAACAAATTCTTAAAAAATTTGCGTGTGCTGCGAGTGAGTTCTGTGAATGTTTGTGCGTGTGTCTGTATGTGTGTATTGTTGTTGTTACTGTTGTATGACTGGCTGCTGTGTCTAGTGTGACAAAAAGTTGTTCCTCTCAGTGGCAGAGCCAAATCACGACTGATACAAATTCGCTGCGTGCGCTAACTATAAGTATTGAGGCGGTCGGACTGCGGCGAGTTATGCGGCACACAAAACCCACACACACACACACACGCACTCACTCACTTACTCACTCACTAACTCACTCGCTCGCTCGCACTCACACGCATGTGAATGTGTAGAAGGGAGGAAACGCAACTCCGAGCACTTTCATTGTACGAGTACATAGAAGGCAAGCAAGCAAGCAAGCAGACGCAGAGGACAGGCCAGGCAGACAGGCCAGAAGGCAGGCAAGGCAGGCGGCCTTCGTTTGCTCGATTGAGGCGCGCTCTTTGATGCACGAGCGAGTGCCGAACAGCAGGTAGCTCTGGCTGTCTGTAAAAAACTCGGCGCTCAGTTGAGCTCGGCTTTGGCACTCGGTTCGGCAATCGCGCAGATACTTAGTGGTGTAGTAGTAGCTCTTTCGCTTTTTTACCTACGCGATTTTTAGTCGCTTTTGAGTCGCTTCTTTTCATTTCATTTTTTGTCGCATGCAAATATCGCTCAATGCTAGATTAGGGGACATACAGAAGTAGTGCTGACGATCTGTCAATGCATTGTTTTTGTTTAGCAACAAATTAACACAACTCTATGAGAGCAGCTCATAAAAAAGTTGACTTTTGCAAACCTACAAGTTTATGCCACCAGCATAAAAAACTTTTATGGTTTTATGAGTGTGGCAGTTTTTTGTGCGGTCGTAAAAAAAAAACACTAGTCAGTGGACGCTGCACACTTACCTAGCTGCGAGCCTTAAAAAACTTGTGCGCACTTCCGTTTTGAAGGATCATAAAAAATGGTACACACTTTGTTTCCGTTTGTACAATAAAAAATGTATAACTTGGCAAAAATTTCAAAACTCTTTTTGAAATGCTCCTTTAGAATGTACGTCAGATAATTGCAAATATTTATTGAGTAAACTGACTGGTGTATATTAATATTAATATTGCCTTTTTCTTAACCCCACAAACCTCTCATGCTCGAGACAAAAACTCACTCAGCGAAACCAAAACTAATTTCGACTGCAAGCCAACTTCCCCTTTTTATATAAAGACCCGAAAAACTCGACTCAACGCAATCAAACAAGAAGCGAACTGGTAGCCACCAAAGGGGATGAGAACTGATGAATGTTCACATAAGAATACGTGTGTATATGTGTGTATATGCATTCGTTTCTATATTATAGAAGACCGCTCAAAAGCAGCGCCACAGAAAGAGAGAACAGAGACAAAAATGAGCGAGTAGGCGATACAAAGACTACAAGGACGCAGCGCCAAAAGTCAAAGGAAAGAGATACAATCGGCAGAGTGTTGAGTAGGAACGTTGCCTGTCCTTTAACTTACAAGTGTTGAGCAGGGAGCCTGCGCTGTGAAAGTAAACAGGAAGTAAACAAAACACACGCGACCCCACCACACTCACAAAAAAGGGGAAGGGGAATGGGGAAGGCAAGAAGGGGCCACATTTGAGTGAGTTCTGTTGGATCCCGAGGCAACGGCAACTGTTGAGTTGAATTGAGTGAAGCAGTAGGCCCATTAATGGGCAACTAATTGCCGGCACACGCACGGCACGAGGCTCACGATAAAAGAGGACAAAAAACAGAAATGCCATAAAAAGTGCAGAGCAGGTAATCCCTGCAGCAACCCCTTCGTAAAAAACAGAGTTGCTTGTTTTTTATTTAGTTTTTGCATTTTTTTCGTCGTTTTTTGTTTTTGTGTTCAAGCGTTGCTTTCGACTTTTGCGGATTGACTTTTAAATGATTTTATGTAGATTTTTATGGCAAAGGACAAGCGCAACGCAGCAGGACATGCACAACAATGTATGTGGGTTGAAATGTTTGTGCGTGTGTCTGTGCGTCTGGATGTCTGTGTGTCTAGGTAGCATGCAGCGGCAAGGACGCGACAGGCTGGTCATTTTGTTATGGTAATGCAGACTACCGTGGAATTTCATCTCGACCGAAAGTGAAAATGGTCAAAAAGGCTTTTGTTTCGCCCTATGACATCCTTGCTCCGTCCACATAATGTTACGTAAAATTTGTGCGGAAAAACAGCGCATGCATAAACATAATCATAATGGTTTGTTCACCAATACAGTTCCCAGTTCCCTTCAGCGAATTCTCGGAGATTCTGGGAAAGCAATTTACGAGTACTTCGACTCTGTGCTGAGTTTCTCAGCTCGCGGCTTGTCTTCGCTTGGTCTTAGTCTTAGCTCATCACGACTGCGTCGGCTGATAATGAATTATTTTGTTTGTACTTGTAGTTGTTGTTGCTGTTGCTGTTGCTATTATTTTACTTTTCGCTAATAACTTTTGACCCCTTGCTGGCAGTTTTTGATTGCCAAAATTTGTACCTCAAGCGCTTGTTTCCTTGGTTCTAGTTACTGTGAGCCTTGGTCCAGTTTTCATCGATGTTAGTTGGTAGGGATTAGTCAGAGCTGAGAGTTGTAGCGATAAGCCAATGGTATCCCATATTAAAGCCACTTAAAGTTGGCTTTGCCCATAAAACATCATCCGGCGCCCCTTATCGCATGCCAAAATAGCTTATCAGTTGAAATATTTCTGCGCTTTCCCTCCCTCTCTGTCTCACTCTACTAATTCGAATTTAGACGGCGGCACGCACTCCTAGAGCATCGAATCACATGCCATAGAAATGGAATGGCAGTGCGTATGTACTTATAACTGGAAAGTGCGTATAGTTCGCTGATAATTCCGCACTAACCTGGGCCAATATTTAATACAAAAAAAAAAGTGCTTTGAACTACGCCAATTTTTTGTATAGTTCAGAGTCGAAAAGAGTTTAACAGTTTTGTTTTGATTCGGCCAGACGTGGCAAAAGTCAAGGAGAGGCTAAGCGAATTATCTGTGTTTTCAGCTGTTTCCATGCAAATTATTATGGAATCAATTATGAAATTAGGAATGTTTATACAAAACTTTTGCATTTCATCGATGTGCATACGAGTAGAATATAAAATTAAATTAAAATCGGGCCAGCCTCTCGCACTTCTCCCCACTACACCCATTCAGTTGAAATACCAATGTGTGTACTTTAGAAATTACATCTGCAATTGCTGTATGATTGCACAGATTTTTAAAAATTGCAAAGACTAATAATTGCTCTGCGTACATAGCTAAGATATTACTTTTCAAGTGCTTCACACGTTCTTAGATTCGTCTCGTTGTGTTGATCATATAGGTATCTATTTATAAAGGTATTTTCTATCTGCTTGTTACATAAATTGGTGCATAGACTTTCTAGCATACCCTTTCACCTTTTGTGTGTATAACGTTAAGAAAAAAACAAAACAAAATCAAGTCGTTATGAAAAATGTTCGAAAATAAATAATTTATTTTAAACAATGCAAAACCTCGAACTTAGGGCTACAGAAAAACATTATGCCCCTTCCGTCATCAGTTAGCTAACTGGGCTTTTAAAAGAGCTTTATTAGTAGTAGAAAAGCGAAGTAAAGGAGCCCAAAAAGGACCTACGATTTAAGTAAAACAATAAAGTCAACATTAATTTAAATAACTAGTTTTATATTGATAGACATTTTCTCTACTAGTCCTTATCGGGAATTTTTTCAGGCTTTCATACATTTCTAAAAAACATCACTCTACACTCCTTTAATAGAAAAATAGCCGATTTGGCCTAACCAGCATGTTACCGCATACAACTAAATACACGCTAGTCCTGCCAGCTGCATTTTTTTCCTCAACCATCGGCGCCGCTAGTCCAGAGTCAAGTTACAGCTGATGCATCCACCTAACCCTATCAAACTCAAACAATTGAGAATAAAAAACTCGCTGCATTTCCACCCAAAATACGACAAATTTTTTGTACTAATATTTCGCTTGGTGGAAAAAACAACTCGAGAGGGCTGAGTCCATTGTTTAAAGTGGTTGGCAAACAGAGAAAGTGAAAAGGAAGGCTTAAGCCCGTGTCTGTCGCGCATGCGCCACGCGCTGTTAGCGAAAAGGGTGCGGCAAAGAGGGAGCGAGGGAAGGGTTTGCTGTGCCCACAAATTTTTTAACAATTTGTGCAACCCATTCGTGTTGAGAGCGGGTCTAGGGTGCGCCGGCTTGGCTTGATTTATAGTCAATCGAACATTGTGGCTGATTTGATGATGACGCTGATGATGATCGGACGATAAACTGCAGACAAATAAAAACATGACAAATAGAATAAAGTTGATGTGTTTATAATAGTATGGAATTGCAATGCATTGCGGCAAGAATAACAGAGCAGAGA